AGAGCCAAGCCACACTGGGTAGCATAAAAGCAGCTGAGAGTGGGAGCTCAGGGCTGTCAGTTTTGGGAGTGGGCTCATCTCGTCGTGGCTGTCATCTTCGCCGCCTTCGTCAATACCGTCTTGGCAAGATATTGCACGGCCGGATAGTTGTTGGTTGTCTCGGTCAGCACCATTGGTGTTACATGATCAGGGTTGTGTTTATAAGGTGGCCCGGGAAATTCAGGGCCACGAGACCCGCCAGCATTGGCCCAAAGTGGAGGCTTGGCCGTGGCGGGAGGAGGACATGGTGGCTGTGGTGTGCGGCCTGGGGACGTACGGGAGAAGGCCCCCGCGGGTGGGTTGGCAACCGGCGAAGCCCCCTTCGCCCTGGGGTCCCACGGCCAAGTGTTTCAGGTGTGGTCAGCCGAGCCACATCGCCATAGAATGCCGGGGTGTCAGTAGGGTGCCGGCAGTGCCTCCGTAGCACTCTGACCTGCCGGCAACATTTTCCCAAGCTGCACCGGATCCGAGTCTCTGATGCTTTCCGTGACTGCCGTGTGCAAAGTGTCAGGGGCTGGATCCGATTAAATGCTACTTAGGATTTCAGGGACGGGCCATGCCCTTAGGCCATTGTTTTTTTGTTCCCATTCCTCGGAATCCCAAGGAATGCAAAACCCTGCCAAGGTGGGGGTGACCAGTGTCGAGGACCGGCTCACGTGAGCTATGTTCTGGTAAAGGCGGACTCTCCCTTGTAAGGTGAGATTCGGGGGGGTTGTGTATATTGTTTGGCTTGTGTTATCGGTTCTCATGGGGGAAGGGAGGCGTCACGGTTATGCGTTCCTTGATGGGGTTCTTGCCCATGCCGCAGTTGCGCTGTGTGGTTATGGTTCGCGGGAGACGCTGCGGTTGTGCTGTATGGTCGCGGGAAGTGTTGCAACCAAGGTTTTTTTTTGGGGTAAATAGTTTTTTTGTGTTGGTGGTGTTCCTCGGGGTTGGGGTTGCTCTGCCTGTCCACCGGTTGCAGTTGCAACGGCAACTGCGGTGGACAAACAGTACACACGCCGGTGAGCATATACACGGAGTGTGTCGGCAGGGCGGAGGAACTGGGGCAAGGGTCATGGAAGACCCTATCTGGAAACCCCTGGAACCTGCTAGAGGGTTCGAGAAGAAAGGCGCGACCAATGCGGAGCCAGGCCACGCTGGGTACAATAAAAGCAGCTGATAGCGGGAGCTCAGCGCTGCCTGTGCTGTGAGTGTGCTCGTGTCGTCGTCGCTGTCATCTTCGCTAGATATTGTGCGGCCGGATAGTTGTTGACTGTCTCGGTCAGCGCCATCGGTGTTACACGGTCAGGGTTGGGATTTAGGCTAGGCGAGACGACTAGAGAGAGCGAATTTCTATTTACGTGACCCAAAAAAAATCTTATGGATGATGTTGGTCGCGACAGCCTACGTGTTAAACTTGCTTAATTGCCTCAGCAATTCGGAGTTTTGTATCATATCTCATCACAAACACTCGAAGAGCACCCCTATGTGGCAGCTGCCTCTGTGTGGCATAAGGTGTCCCAGCACCAGCCTGCATGTGGGCATGAGTCTGTCAGTCAGGGGCGATAATTGATGTGTAATCTCAGTTGTGCATTTTCTGGATAATTTTTGGAATTTCCCAAATTTGTACAATGACACCAACATACAAAGACCTATGTGTTTTGAATAACACAATATTATGTTTTACATCCACTCTTTAAGCAGACGGTGCATATTTTGGTTGATGTTACTGGAGTAGCCAGGGGTGCCTGTCGGATTTGAACCTTGAACCTCTGCAATAAATCGAGAATGCGCTACCACTTGGCTTCCCTCAATCTGAGTGGAGGCATGCCAGCCAGTGTTTCTAACCAGCGCAGATGTTCCATTTAGAGGGGTGCACGTTTCACATTCCTACAGATTGGAGGGCATGACTGTTGCCGAGAAGACCCGGAGCTTCATGCAGAGCGACAGGCCAGGTAGCTTCCACACAGCATTGCAGAGCTGATGAAAAGATAATGCCGCCCGACTGATTCGGACCACCCAAACACTGTACACATACGCAGTGTAGACGTATTGTGTACACACAATGTATATCCAGCATACACACAGTCTGCACATACACTGTATACACAAACACACTAACAAAAACAACGACTGCCATTCGCCAATACGTGGTGGTGATGTCACCATGGCGCTTGTACCAGGCTATGTGCACGTTAAGGCCAGGTCAAGTGTCGAACTCCTGCCGGCAGGAGGTCACAGGGCAGACTCAGGTGCCATGGTTCAACTGAGATGACTGGCCGATGCACCATCTGTGTCCCCTACTGTGCTAACAGTGTACACACACACAGTGTGTGCGCGCGAGCGCACCGTGTGTATATGTACACTGTATACAGAGGCCGTCCATAAATGACGTCACGCGATTTTGGACGATTTTGACCCCCCCCCCTTCGTCACACGACGTCATAAAAAGTCAGACCCCCCCCTCAAATATGACGTCACAAAGCTCTACCCACCCTCCCCCCCCAAAAAAACATGCTTCAAATCGATTTAAACTATTGTCATTGCAGTGCGTATTTAATGTGACACTACACTCTGATGTAGGAGAAAACATGTATTAAAAAGTATATTTAATTAAGTAGAACGTAATATAGGTTTTGGGGTCAGATCGCCTTATTTATAAATGTGTCGTAACCCTCCACCACCCGACACGGCCAAACAGTAAAAAATGTGTCACGTTTTTCAAAGGACAAAATAATTCACTTTTTTAGCCCACCGTTGTGCTGAAGATAGAATCAACAGCATTTTTTTTTATTTGAATACGACGTTTCGCTGATAATTACAATCAGCTTCATCGGGCAAGAATGGTGAAGCTCTCCTGTTGCTTCCGGTCGTAAATAGAGCAGCATCAGGGTGACGTCATCATTTAATTCAATTCGATCTGGTGCAATGATTCGAGGCAAAGAGGGGGAGGGTATTGTAATTATATAGATTGGTAATCATTCAATTGTTATTCATTGGTATTTTTTTCCCTTATAAGGAATTGTAATTGTATTTATATAATAATACGCTTCCAGGCCACACTAAGCCTGTAGCTGCCAGAGCGATTGAAGTTATTTCTGTTTCAATTTAAATGGATTCTCTAATTAGTCTTGGCCAGTAATAATTAATTTTACACAAAACTTCAACGTTATCAAAATCAATTGAGTGTCCTTGTTGACAAGCATGCTCTGTCACTGCCGACAGTTGTGTTTGAGATAATTTAATGTTTCTTTGGTGTTCTTTTAATCTTATGCTGATGTTACGTCCCGTCGGTCCAATATAGCATCTGTCACATAAACAATTAATCCGATATACACCTTCTGTTGATAATTTAGCCAATTCGTTTTTAGTGTCAGATACCAGTTTTTTTATTTTGTTAATTGTACCAAATCTCACTTTAATGTTTTGTTTTTGCAAAACCTGGGCTTATTTGTCAGTTACTCCTGAGATGTATGGTATTTTGATTGTTTGAACAATCTTATCGCTTTCAGCAGTGTTGCTTTGCGTTCGTGATTTGGCCTTCAGTGCTTTGTTAATTTGAGCATTATTGTAGCCATTCTGTCTTAGTGTTTCTTTAACATGTTTCATCTCTCTCACTAGACTCTTACCATCTGACACTGTTTTAGCCCGATGTATGAGTGTTTTGACAAGAGAGGATTTCTGAGCTGGGTGATGATGTGAATCTGCATTCAGATAGGCATCAGTGTGCGTTTGCTTTCGGTAAACGCTGTGTGTTATTTTGCCATTAAGACCATGTTCCAGCAAAATATCTAGGAACGGGAGTCTGTTATTTACCTCCATTTCCATGGTGAACTGGATAGCCGGGTTTTGTGCATTGAGATGATTTAGAAAATCACTAAGTGCATCTTTACCATGTGGCCAGACCAAAGTGTCATCAACATATCTAAACCAAAAGGATGGTTTTAATGTACTCGAGGCAAGTGCTCTTGTTTCAAAGTTCGCCATGTACAAATTGGCTTAAATAACGCGATCTGACCCAAAAACCTATATTATGAATAATATTGGTCGCGAAGCCTGCTACGTGTTAAAATATGTAGAACATGTCTATATTTATTTAAGTTGTGCATTTTGATGTGACGTCACATTTATCTCCCCCATCGTCACACATCGTCACAAATGTCTGACCGTCCCCTCCCCAGTTGCGTGACGTCATTTATGGACGGCCCCACACGCATTGTATACACAGTTTGTACACACACACTGTATACACAGTTTGTACACACACACAGTGTATACACAGTTTGTACACACACACACTGTATACACAGTTTGTACACACACACACTGTATACACAGTTTGTACACACACACTGTATACACAGTTTGTACACACACACAGTGTATACACAGTTTGTACACACACACAGTGTATACACAGTTTGTACACACACACACTGTATACACAGTTTGTACACACACACAATGTATACACAGTTTGTACACACACACACTGTATACACAGTTTGTACACACACACACTGTATACACAGTTTGTACACACACACACTGTATACACAGTTTGTACACACACACACTGTATACACAGTTTGTACACACACACACTGTATACACAGTTTGTACACACACACACTGTATACACAGTTTGTACACACACACACTGTATACACAGTTTGTACACACACACTGTATACACAGTGTGTACACACACACACTGTATACACAGTTTGTACACACACACACTGTATACACAGTTTGTACACACAATGTTCACGTTGTTGAGCTCACGCACCCAAAGGGTCAATGTTCAATAGAGGGATCAATGGAATAGGAATCTTAATAAACTTCAACTCTAACCCCGCTGTCTGACGTCACCACTGCATTATCTCATCGGCGTGAGGGGGTGTACCCCCGCTAGTGACGTCATGTCATCTCGTGCTGCCGCGTGACGTCACGAGATACCAGGAAGCTGCCGATCCGCGCGCGCGCTCACTGAGATCCGAGGTAAGAAGTTCACATCGTGGTTGTTGTTGATGTTGTTGTTGTTTACTCAGGTAGAGCCTCGCTCCGTCTCTCTCTCGTAGGGATATCAATTGAGTAGCAGCGAGTATGGAATCGATGTCTAGGTTGGAACATTACAACGCGGGGCCTAGCCATGCGGGGCCTTGCCTCCTGCCCTCGCCTGATTGCATTTGCTTTAATTCTCTGCTTAATTTTAATTTGTCTTCATCTGGCTCACTACTTTGAAACTTTGTTTCTTTTAAATATTTCGACAGTTTTTTTTATCTTACCAGGTCAAGCCCACTTCAGCTGCTATACCGCTCTTGTTTTCAGAAGCGACCTGCCCACAACAAAGTGGAGCTATACTACACTTTGTGTAGCTATACTAACACTATAGCAGTGTGTACTGGCTGTAGTAGCTATACTAATTCTATAGCAGTGTGTACTGGCTGTAGTCGTAGCTATACTATATAGCAGTGTGTACTAGCTGTAGTAGTAGATATACAAACTCCATATCAGTGTGTACTGGCTGTAGTAGTAGTACTAACTGTATAATAGTAATCTTTGGTTCTTTCGTTGAGTCATATAGATAGAAAAATAATAATACAAATAAAGTGAATAATGACGTGAATAAAAATAATTCAAATAACCATTAATGTAAACTGTAGCCTGGTTATTAAGTTGTGTGAGTGTACTGGCAGTCTATGATGTAGACTATAGAAATGGTTATTAATAACTAAGAATAAGTCTATAGACTGCCAGTACACTCGCTCAGCTGAATAACCATTGCTACAGTCTACATTATAGACTGCCAGTACACTCACCAAACTTAATAAGCAGGCTACAGCCTACATTATAGAGTGCCAGTACACTCACCGAGGTTAAGAATTATGCTAGTCTACATTATAGACTGCCAGTACACTCACCCAGCCTAATAACCATTGCTACAGTCTACATAGACTGCCAGTGCACTAATCGAGGTTAAGAACCAGGCTACAGTCCACATTATAGACTGCCAGTACACTCACCCAGCTTAATAATCATTGCTACAATCCATATTATAGACTGCCAGTACACTCACCAAACTTAATGAGCAGGCTACAGACTACATTATAGAGTGCCAGTACACTCACCGATGTTAGGAACCAGGCTGCAGTCTACATTATCGACTGCCAGTACGCTCACCAAGGTTAAGAATGATGCAAGTCCACATTATAGACTGCCAGTACACTCACCCAGTTTAATAACCATTGCTACAGTCTACATTATAGACTGCCAGTACACTCACCCAGCTTAATAACCATTGCTACAATCCATATTATAGACTGCCAGTACACTCACCAAACTTAATGAGCAGGCTACAGACTACATTATAGAGTGCCAGTACACTCACCGAGGTTAGGAACCAGGCTGCAGTCTACATTATCGACTGCCAGTACGCTCACCAAGGTTAAGAATGATGCTAGTCCACATTATAGACTGCCAGTACACTCACCCAGCTTAATAACCATTGCTATAGTCTAATCTTGATTTTAAGCTTTCGTGACTGCAGGAATCCATACTCTTTGGTTCTTTCGGTAAATTCACGTAGGTAGAAAATATAATAGAGCACGACGTTTCGATCACAACTCAAGCAACTGTCATCAGGTGTGAAACAAACAGCAGGACGACTGCTGACATAGGAGAAAGAGCTGCTGCAACAAGAGTTTACATAGGATTTTGGTGGGCCCAACCCAAGGATAAGTGGGCGGAGCTAGAGAAGGAATTTGTACATAAATGTAAATGTGAGAGATTAGCATGTCAATGTGAGACGGCCCAGCCACCGGGGGTGTGCCAATGAGAAGATTAGCATGTCATTGTCAGAGAGCCCAGCAACAGGAAACAAAAAACCCTTAAGAGCAAGAGGTACACATGGTGAGAGAGAGACACAGAGAGAGAGAGACACAGAGTCGGAAATAACAGCTCACATAGGCAGGTAGGATGAAAACATCACAGTCAGTTAAGACTTTACTTGGTTAATAACGTCCTTCCAATGATTGCTCAGGTTGTACCCATCTTCTCAGTTGAAGTTGTGTTTGTGTTTATATATCTGGATGGCTTCATGAACAAATCTTTGATGATGGCCGGTGGGTTTGCAGAGTACTTTCGTCTTGGAAAAGTCTATTTCGTGTGAGCCCACAGCGTTAAAACAATGATCAACAATGGCAGAGGTATTGATCCTACCGTGTTTCAGATCTGCCTTGTGTTCGCGAACACGGTCCGAGACATGTCGTTTCGTTTCCCCAATGTAACTGCTGCCGCAGCCACAACTCAGTTTGTAGACACCAGGGTATTGCATGTCAGGCATCACATCCTTCACAGATGGGATCTAATCACGGATTGTGTACTGTGTTGAAACAACCTCGATCTTGTGTTTGTTTAAGATTTTTGGAAATATTTTTGGTAACCTCTGCTATGTATGGCAAAGTGATGGTTTTGATTGGATCCTAAGATGGTTGTCTCCCCATGGCTGGGGAGACAGCTTTGCGGATTGTACTGTCAGAATATCCATTCATCCTGAGGGCTTGGTGTACGTGCTCCAGCTCACTGGCTAGGTGGCGCTGGTCAGAGATGCAACGGGCCCTATTGTGTAGTGTTTTGATGAGGGAATTCTTCTGGGCTGGACGGTGGTGGGAGTCAGGCTTTAGATAGGCATCCATGTGGATGGCTTTCCTGTAGACAGTGTCCCAACGAGCCACCAGGTCTCTTCTCGATCACAACATCCAGGAATGGTAGCTTGCCATCATTTTTCACTTCCATGGTGAATTTGATAGATGGGTGTTTGGAATTGATGTGGTTGAGCGTTAATATGGCTACTACTACGGCCAGTACACACTGCTATAGAGTTAGTATAGCTACTATACTTTTTAGCAGCGTGTACTGGCTGTAGTAGTAGCTAGACTAACTCTATAGCAGTGTGTACTGGCTGTATTAGTAGCTATACTAACTCTATAGCAGTGTGTACTGGCTGTAGTAGTAGCTATACTAACTCTAAAACAGTGTGTCCTGGCTGTAGTAGTAAGGGAGAACCCATTGGGGTACCCTCATTTAGTTTGTAGAATGTACCATTCCAGGTGAAGTAAGTGTTGGTAAGGCAGTGCCTTACCAAAGTTGGTACATCTGGATTCAGTCACTGTTGGACCAAGTCTTCAATGATTGCAATGGTGTCAGGTACAGGTACCTTGGTGAACAAGGAGTCTACATTGAAACTGGCAAGCAAATCAATCGGAGACAGTGAGATATCCTTGATTAGTGAAACCAAGTGAGCTGAGTTAAATACAGATGAGGTGGTCGTGCCCGTGAAAGGAAGCAGGGTCTCGGACAGAAATCGGGCCAGTTTGTGGGTGGGTGAGTTAATGGTGAAAACGATACTTTGTGGATTTTTGTAAGGCCATCAAATCTGGGTGGTCTAGCAGCCAAATGTTTTAGAGAGAGCTGCTTGGTCGGTTTGATTAGAGAAGTCGGATTAGTGATGATATTGTTGGTTTTCGTGGCTAGGCAGTTGGTGGGATCTCTTGATTTTGGTATAGCTGCCATCATTAAGAAGGTCCTGAATTTTGTTGTTGTAAGTGGTTTTATCCAGGATGACAGTGGCATTGCCTTTGTCGGCGGAGAGGATAACAATGTCACCTCTCTTTTTTAATTGAGCGAGTTCAAAACGCTCGTCCTTGCTGATGTTGCTAATGGGTTTCTTAGCGTCTTTGAGGATAGCAGCGATTTCAAATCTTGCAACGTCTGCCGGGATGTGTCCCAAACCTTTGAGGGCTATGTCGACCTGGGCAATGATATCACACACTGGGATGTGTTTAGGGGAGACTGTGAAATTCAACCCTTTAGCTAGTACCGATTTTAGGCTGTCGGAAATTGGGCTGTTACTCTGATTGATACAAATCTTGTTAACATCTGACTTTTTAATGTGTGGCTTGGTCTTCTTTTTTGACAGGTGATTGAATTTAGCAATCAAGTTAACTTTACGTTTAGTTGACATTGAAGTAGCTGAAGAAACTGTCATGTTATCTACATGGTCCCAATCAGATGTGGACATTTTATCTGTTAATGCTAAGTGTGATTGTAAGAGAGTCTTGTCTAAATTATCAAGTTAAAATCGGAGCAATCTTATTCTCTCTGAGATTAGAGCTAGGCTGTCCCTAAACATAGTCTACAATATAGACTGCCAGTACACTTAACTCCGATTAAGAACCAGGCCTACATTAGTGTTTCTTTTTATTTTTACTATTTCGATTTTAATTAACTTCTTTTTGTTATTTTTTTTTCTATCTACGTGACTGTACCGAAATAACCAAGAATATAATACTTAACAGTGCCGTGGTAAAGCCTAGTCCCATGCAGGGGCCCCGGCCTCGCGCATGCGCAGATGTGTGCTTTGGCACGCGCTCAGCGTAGTAATTTAATCATTAATAGTACTAAATTGTTATACCATGGGACCTCCTTCGCCTTTTGGCGTCCTCTGGTCTAACACTGTTTGAGACTAGGCTCGAAAGAAAGCTGTCTATGGTGTAGACCAATCAGTTTCAAGGACAATGCATATAGTATGTGATTTTTTTTTAGCATTTTGACTGCAAATATTGTGGTTAATGCAGACATGAATCCTTGTAAAATGGTTTCAGTTTTGTTGCCAAAAACAAAGGGGAACCCTATTATTATATTTTGGTACTAGCAAAGGAGGTCTAATGATGTAGATGCTTACCCTGAGCCCTCATTACTTTGATAGTGCATTGTCTTTGAGCTGTACGCCTTTTGGCGTCATCTGGTCTTCCAATTGAGATGAGGCTCTAAAGAAAGCTATCTCTGGTGTGGACCAATCAGTTTCAAGGACAATGCATATATTATCAGTGTTATTTTTTTTGCATTTTGACTGCAAGTATTGTGGTTAATGCAGACATGACTCCTTGTAAAAAGGTTTCGGTTTTGTTGCCAGAAAAAAGGGGAACAACCCTATTATTATGACAATGCATATACTATCAGAGCATGTTTTTTTTCCATTTTAACCACAAATATATATCGTGTTTATGCAGAAATGATTCCTTGAAAAAGGTTTAAGTTTGGTGTTTGAACATCTTAACACCCGTTTTGTTGCCAGAAAAAAATGGGAAAACCTATTCTTGTACTAAATTGTTAATTTAACTACTTTAAAGTTGACGGACGCAAAATACGATTAGCGCTGGCTCACCACGGGGCTTATCGTATGGTACCCGGGTACTTTTTTTAAACAAAACTCCACGGTTCGTGAGTCAAATCCGTCACAAGTTTCGTATACAGACAGACGGACAGAAAAACAAACAAAAACTGACTTGTATAGGTAAGATGTAATGATCCATGTGAAATGTATGTGTATTTAAGAGTTTACCTTTGTGGGGAGCTGTGGCGCAGTTATTTCACTGCATTATGAATTCAACAATTAGTTTGACTATCGCCAACAGCAAACACGATTGATAAGTGAAAGCTGAACTTATTGTGGTCCTCTGCTATGTTGATTGATCTTAAATTAATTACATGGTGAAGTGAGGAAGCATTAATACTGAGCAGATCAAGGTGGCCAGGCATGGTTCTGGACACCACCACCTTTTTACAATGCCAGTGTGTGACAGTGTCAAGTTTGTATTTGCAGTAAAGTATATTAACTATTGAACATGGAGGTTAAATCAAAACAATAGCTTATTTTAGTTTTGCTCTGGAACTTTTTGTAAGAATGGAAACAGTCAGGAAATCAACACAGCATATATGCTGCTGAAGTTAGATCTGTTCATCCAAGCATTTAAGCAAATCTGAGCCAGGCTTCACACCCCAAGTTGTGATTGAACATTAATTTATGCATTACTGCGTAATACAAATAGTAATATTTTCAACAGCCTTTGCTATGTTAGCTGAATTTTACTTTAATAAATATTGCTTTTGTAGCCAGGCAGCCGAAATTGTGTGTTTGGTGTTTTGGGTTAATATTTATTTTGAAGATACTAGGGCCTCCAGGCATATTTATAACCATTTGCTCTCTCATTGTGTGCCTTAACAGCCCATGTGATGGATTGGGAATATCTTGAATATATGAATAAATATAGACGTGTAAGTCATGTGTGACTATGTATATATATTTATTCCTCTGTGCCTCGATACTGACGTAGATGGTGTGGTTTTTTTTTCTGTCTGCAGCTGACTGCTTCTGACGCTTCATCAGATTTGGTGTGATGGAGCAAAGGCACTCAGCACAGCCCGGTACAAAAAGACAATGGGACCAGGATGCAAACAGCATGGATTGTACTGGAAGTGTGACACGGCACCAGAAAACTCAAACAGGAGAGAAACCCTTCAAGTGCACTGTGTGTGAGAAGGCATTTACAGTGTCATCATATCTTAAAAAACACCAGAGAACACACACAGGAGAGAAACCCTTCGGGTGCACTGTGTGTGGGAAGGCGTTTTCACGGTCATCAATTCTGCACAAGCACCAGAGAAAACATACAGGAGATGGACCCTTCAAGTGCATTGTGTGTGAGAAGGCATTTTCAGATTCATCTGTTCTTAAAAAACACCAGAGAACACACACTGGAGAGAACCCCTTCATATGTAGTGTGTGTGGGAAGGCATTTTCAGATTCATCTGTTCTTAAAAAACACCAGAGAACACACACGGGAGAGAAACCCTTTAGGTGTAATGTGTGTGGGAAGGACTTTTCACATTCATTCGCCCTTAAAACACACCAGAGAACACACACGGGAGAGAAACCTTTCAAGTGCACAGTCTGTGAGAAGGCATTTGCAGATTCATCAGTTCTTCAGATCCACCAGAGAACACACACAGGAGAGAAACCCTTCAAGTGCAGTGTGTGTGAGAAGGCATTTGCACAGTCATCAAATCTTAGAAAACACCATAGAACACACACAGGAGAGAAAAATTTCAAGTGCACTGTGTGTGAGAAGGCATTTTCAGATTCATCTGCTCTTAAAAGACATCAGAAAATACACACAGGAGAGACACCTTTCAAGAGCAGTGTGTGTGGGAAGGAATTTTCAAGTTCATCTGATCTTAAGATCCACCAGAGAACACACACGGGAGAGAAACATTTCAAGTGCAGTTTGTGTGAGAAGACATTTTCAAGTTCATTTTGTTTTAAAAAACACCAGAGAACACACACAGGAGAGAAACCTTTCAGGTGCACTCTGTGCGGGAAGCTCTTTGCAGATTCATCACATCTTAAAAAACACCAGAGAACGCACACAGGAGAGAAACCCTTCAAGTGCACTGTCTGTGAGAAGGCATTTGCATGGTCATCAGATCTTCAGATCCACCAGAGAACACATACAGGAGAGAAACCCTTCAAGTGCACTGTCTGTGAGAAGGCATTTGCATGGTCATCAGGTCTTCAGATTCACCAGAGAACGCACACAGGAGAGAAACCCTTCAAGTGCACTGTCTGTGAAAAGGCATTTGCATGGTCATCAGGTCTTCAGATTCACCAGAGAACACACACAGGAGAGAAACCCTTCAAGTGCACTGTCTGTGAAAAAGCATTTGCATGGTCATCAGGTTTTCAGATCCACCAGAAAACACACACGGGAGAAAAACGTTTTAAGTCCAGTTTGTGTGGGAAGGTATTTTCAGGTTCATCTCATCTTAAACGGCACCAGAGAACACACACAGGAGAGAAACCCTTCAAGTGCACTGTCTGTGAGAAGGCATTTGCACAGTCATCAGTTCTTCATCGACACCAGAGAACACACAGGCATCAGAAGATCCCCAAGGAGTGTAGTCTGAAATCTACTTGTGAAAGTCAAAGTGCTGCAATGAGCCCATCCCTCCTGAAAAAAGAACCAGAAGTACATTCCAGCTTGGACACTATGAAATGTATCAAGGCGAAATGTGAAGAGGCGATAGTGAAGAGCGAAGAAGTGAAGGTAAAATGTGAAGATGTGATGGTGAAGAGCGAAGATGTGAAGGTAAAATGTGAAGATGAAGATTCAACTCCAAAATCGGACCTTCACATCGATGGAGGCAACGTGAAGAAGGAGGAGAATTCTGACTGTGAGGCAGAGCGAGGAACCTCCCAGGAATTTGTGGAAGTGGAGGTGTGGGTGGACTTCTTAGACAAAACAAAGTCAAATGAAGACCCGGTAGATGTGTAAGCTTGAGACAATGAAGCCCCCGTAGATTCACCTTTGTCACAGGCCTTTAATGAAAGAATGTGAAGTTGAACACTCAATTCTTAGGTTCAACCTGCAGAGTAAGAGGGGGTAGTATTTGCATACCTGTGGGTTGGGTATACAGTGATCCCTCGTTTATCGCGGTTAATGGGGACCGGAACCCCTCGCGATAGGTGAAAATCCGTGAAGTAGGATTGGCCCCCTAGGAATTTCCGTATATGTGTGTGTGGGTACCAGAATGTTTAAAATATGTATATTTATACTTTATATATATATTTTACTTAAATCTATTTAATTATTAAACCTTAATATTATACATTCACTCTCTTTCTCATACGATACGTATTATGGTGTTCTACACTCACCAATGACAGTAGTATCTTGAGACTTGACTCCAGTAATGACGACGACGATAATGACAACGATGATGTGCAGCCAACCAGCTCACGGAATACATCCACCCGTGCTCTCATTCGTCGATCTCGTGCCGGGAACCAATCACGTGCCTTGTCTGAGTGCCCGTGGGTATGTACAAAGCCTCTGAGAGTGTTTCTCTCTTTGTCTGGCATCCTGGGAAACCGTTTCTCTCGCGCATCACGATGAAACAACGCTAATTTCTGCAATACGGCTGCCGATATGGCGGTATTTTTTAATTTTCATTTTTCGATGAATATTTTTGAAAAATCCGCGATGCACTGAGGCTGCGAAACTTGAACCGCGAAGTGGCGAGGGATTACTGTATCTATATCAATTTATAACATTTTTGACATGCGTTTTTCTGGATTTTGTTGTTATTCTGTCTCTCCAAATTAACCTACCATTAAAATTATAGACTGATCATTTCTTTGTCAGTGGGCAAACGTACAAAATCAGCAGGGGATCAAATACTTTTTACCTAAACTGTAAATACATTTTTTTTTTTTACTTCCAACCCGTGATGAGAGGACGGAATACGTGGTGACAGCAAGCACACCCTTGCACAATAGGTCACGACTTCACGACTTCAAAGGCCACAGCGCCCCTTTTTGACAGAGACTGCAAGTCTGATGCAAAAAATGTTAAACACTTCCAACCCGTGATGGAATTGTGGGGAACGCTGCCCAAAACGAATACACACAAACAGGGATAGAATTGTGTTAAAAGCTTTCTTTTCATCACATAATCTTGCCGGCGAATGTATTAAAGCCCTTAGCCAATTGTTGCACATTTGTTAGACAAGCAAGCACACTACCGCACACCATTGTTCCAAGGCATTACGTTAATTGCATAATCTAAAAAATGAATTCATTGAGGTCTACCTTTGCTTAGGCACATGTTTCTTTATTACTGTTCGTATGAAGATTGTCACATTAATTTCCTGTCGCTGTGTATGATCACCTTACTCTGAAGAATGAGCCAATTGTTCTGTTACCCAGTTTGACAAACATAATTATTGAGGGTTAAATGTACGGTTCAATGAAGACATCTCCAGGAGTACTGTGTTGGCATTCCTTGCATAAGAGTTCGCATATTGGAATGTTACGTGTTTTTTAGAGATTAAAGTTGCTTAACACAGAAGAGTCTGAGTGGTGCCTTCCTAAGTCCATGCATAATAATATTAATTATAAGAACTGTATCTTGCGGAGAGATCTGCATTTTGAGACCTGATATAACACACTAAGACATAATCAGTAAAAGTTAAAGTGAGAATCATTGTATTATCCTGATTGATAATTCACTGGTCAACACTTTTTCTGGCATAAGGTATTCCAACGGTCTTAATGTAATTTTGGGGTGCTGATTCCAAATCTGGCATATCAAATATTGCATTTTCAATAAAAACTGCAGAAGAAAAATATTAAATAAATGTGGATATCTACATAAATTTATTATAAACACACTATCCTAAAAATACAGAACCATATTTTAACACTAAAGCAGTCACTGACTCGCAACAACTTGCAATCATAAGTGACAGAGTTAATTTCGGGTAAAATCAATGAAAATGGGGTATGCCGATAGCATAAAATGAGATGTGATAGAGCAAATCTGAGATCAGATTTGGAATCGGCACCCTGAAATAAGTCTAAAACAGCTGCAAAAGTCCAGGCCAGAAAAAAGTTTTTTTTATTGACCAGTGATAATACAACCCTAGATAACGACGCAGAACCTAATGATAATAATTAAATGCATTAGCATAATTACATACACTTGCATAACTGAAAACAATTACACCTACCTAATTAGCATACGCGCAACATTTTCATAATTAAATAAATTAGCATAACTTCGGGAAAATTACAGTTTTGAAAAAATTTCATTTTTTACATTTTTAAAAATTTTCAGACCGAATATATACAACAGGTGGAAAATATATATAAGCAAGAATGCAAGAATATAAATCAGCACTGCTCAACGAAACGCCCAACTGCGACTGGAGAAGTCCAAACCATCAAGCACATCACCAATGAATGCTCCATCCATGCACATCCTGGCGGTATCGCTAAAATCCACACTGCATCAACCACATCATTGGACTGGATAAGGAACCTTTGCATTCATTCATGACGATCATTAAAAATAAAAACTGTTGCTTTTCACAATGCCATACTCAAAAAGAACTGCGAGTCAGGCTCCGGGGATTGCCCTCGTGACTGGCAAATTGATAGGGAGCTCTGCATCGTCAGAAGCCACGCGTCACGGAGAGTTTTTTGTTGCATCATTGAGAGAGGCTGCTAGCTATGGCTGGTGCTCGCAGTATTGCAATCCAGACGTGGGGAAGAGTGACAAGCATTACTTTTCCCGGTGGCGAGATCGCTCTGGGCAGCAAACACGACCATAGAGTGACAATCGTTCGGATTGTGCTTAGATCAAAGTCAACCCTTTGAGGGAAAACTGGTGCAACCACTATTCGTGAGAGTGCCCCTTGAAATCGCAACCCACAGGCAAAGTTTAGTTGAGGGTCAGATCAGAGACTGACACGGAACGATATACAGTAACTTGATCTGTAGCGTGTCCTCTGTGCAGCACGAGTCGTACAAACAACTGGAAGAGGACTCTCTTGAAGAGGGGGGGGGGGAGACGACAGGCGCTGTCTCTCCAACTCACTCCACAGTCTGCAAGGATCAACAGTGTCTGGTGCGAGTGGTTTATGGTGATGGGATGATCGCGCACATCGACGCAGACGGAGCCGGACCCATCATCCCTGCCAGCACGGGCACTGCCGACAGAGTGACCAGCGTGCCGACTCGGCAATAACCTCAGCGGTGGAGAGAGACTGACGAAGCAGCCGAGAGCGCCGTGTGCTCAACACACACGCTGACCCAGCGCCCCTGCTGGGGACCTGAGGTATTTTCGTTCCAAGGAACGCAGCACCTCAGAAGCCAAAAGACAACCGCCATTCGCCACGAAGTGGCGGTGACGTCACCACGACGCTTGTTCCAGACTATGTTTTCAGTTTCATTTATTAGTTACTAGCGGTAAGTACCCGGCGTTGCCCGGGTGAAAAATATCTTTAAAAACTTCTCTTAAAATTTTCGATTTAAAGCTTTCATGACTGCAGGGATTCATCTTCTTGGTTCTTTCGGTAAAGTCACGTAGAAGGGAATTCTCACGACGTTTCGGCCACAACGCAAGCAGCCGTCCTCAGGTGAAGAACAGGTCTGTCGGAAAGACAGCGTCTGAATGAACACCAGGCTTGGCAGCGTATATTTAAGCTGGGTTGGAGGGGGAAGAGCGCCTTGACAAAGGGATTTGCATATCAAGAGGAATTTAGCATATTTATGGAAATGCAGATATGGGATTAGTCACTACTTGTGGAATGAGTTACAGCAGCAGAGGTTAGAGTAAATGCGATTGGTATTACCTTAGAGTCGCGGCATCTCTTCAGAAAGGTGAGAGACTCGATTAGCTGAGCCTTATCACGGAGTTTGTTGTCTCTTAAAAACCTTACATATACACACACAGATACTAAGGTATTGTGAAAGCCCGGTGGGCCGTTTGTACATTTCTCCACCAACAAAATTATGAGAAGCTTGCAAAAGTCCAAAATGTTGTAGAAATTGTGGGGTAAATAGTTGATGTAAAAGGTTTCCGAAAACTGTGGACACCCCCCCCTCAAAAATTATATTTACATCAGCCTACATACAACAGAGGAAGTAGTATCTATTGACTCTGTAGTTGTATCTACTGACTGTACAGTAGTATCTACTGAGCCAGTAGTAGCTACTGACTGGAGTATTATTTACTGATTGTAGTAATGACTGACCGTAGTAGTATCTACTGGGCCTACAGTAGTATCTACCGACTCTATAGTAGTAACAACTGTATAGTAGTATCCACTGACTATAGTAGTAACTACTAACTCTATAGCAAGATCTACTCACTCTATAGTAGTATCTACGGACTCGAATAGCTACTCACCGTACTAGTATGTACTGACTGTATAGTAGTATATACTGACTGTAGCAGTATTGACTGAGCTGTAGTGGTATATACTGACTGTTTTAGTATCTACTAACTCTATATAGCAGTATCTACCAACTCGATAGCAGTATCTACTATCACTACAACAGTGCATACCAGCTGAGGTGGTACCTGTTATCACTACAGCAGTGCATACTGACAGTGATGGCACCTGCTATGACTACAGCAGTGCATACTGACTGTGGTGGTACATGCTATGAATACAGCAGTGCCTACTGCTGTGGTGGTACCTGCTATGATTACAGTAGTGCATACTGTGGTGGTACCTGCTACTTTACTTAATAAGCAGGCTACAGTCTGCATTATAAACTGCCAGTACACTCACCCAGCTTAATAACTATTTGTACAGTCTATATTTAAGGAATCGATTAGTGGCACGCTCGGGTTTATTTTAATTTATTGAGTTTCATTTTCATTGCTATGTTATGTTTTAAAGTTTTCAGAAGTTTTTAAATGTATTTTCCCCCCGGGCAATGCTGGGTATATCGACTCTTAACAAGAGTGGGGTGTCGAGGGCTAGTCCCGTGCAGAGCCTCTGGCCTCACCTAGATTGCCCAGCCGGGCGAGGTTGGGGGCTGGGCCGCTACCCCCCACCCCCGCGCTGGAATAATAGTCTAATCTCTATAATTGTATTATTTACCGACCCTATAATAGTAATTGCACACATTGGGGTGTGGGGTGGAGAGAGTAGAGGAGGTGAAACTTTGATGTATTTACCTCAGCGTCGCGTGTAAATGTGTGCGCATATTTTTTTACGCAGGTGAGAAATGGCGTCCACCCTGCAGCAACGGTGTGCTGCCCGTTGCCAGGGGCAACCCTTGGTCAGCGTTTCGCACATGCACAACGGTGTGCTAAATAAAGAGAAATCGCACTAAATGGATAATTAAACCGCTTTAAAGTTTAGGGACTAAAAAACGGAAATGCATATTCCCACCGCGGGGCTCGGGGCGTGCCTCCTGGCAAAACATTTCTCGGTAAACCCCACGGTCCGAGAGCCAAATCACCCGCGAGCGTACGCAGACGGACAAAAAATGCCTTTCATAGGTTACAAAGATATTATGCATGGACTTAGGAAAACACCACTCAGACTCTTCTGTGTTAAGCAACTTTAATCTCAAACAAACACGTAACATTATAATATACGAACTCTTATGCTAAGAATGCCAACACAGTACTCCTGGAGATGTCCTCCTCATTGATCCGTACATTTAACCCTCAAAAATTATGTTTGTCAAACTGGGTAACAGAACAATTGGCTCATTCTTCGGAGTAAGGTGATCATACACAGCGACAGGAAAAAGTTTTTTAATTAATGTGACAATATTCATACGAACGGTAATAAAGAAACGTGCCTAAGCAAAGGTAGACCTCAATGAATTTGTTAGATTATGCAATTAACGTAATGCCTTGAAATAATGGTGTGCGGTAGTGTGCTTGCTTGTCTAACAAATGTTCATCAATTGGCTAAGGGCTTTAATACATTCGCGGGCAAGATTCTGTGATGAGAATAAAGCTTTTAACACAATTGTCTCCCTGTGTGTGTATTCGGTTTGGGCAGCGTACCCCACAATCCCATAACGGGTTGGAAGTGTTAAAAAATTTTTGCATCAGACTTGCAGTCTCTGTCAAAAAGGGGCGCTGTGGCCTTTGAAGTCGTGACCTATTGTGCAAGAGTGTGCTTGCTGTCACCATGTATTGTCCTCTCATCACGAGTTGGAAGTAAAAAAAATTTTTATTCACCTCTTATAGCTTGGTACCAAACAACTTTCCGCAGTTTTGACTCTGCAAGTGACTCGAAGTACGTTTAGAGCAACATTCACTGCACTCACGTCGCTGTTTGGAATTCTTGCATGGTATTTGATATATTAGGGGAAGACGCCCCCCCGCATAC